TCCCCGGCAGACATCCATATTTGCATATGTTAGGTTACACCATGAATGCTCATGTGTTCAGATATTGGTACCTCGTTCGTTTGATCAAAATGCTCTGGGCTGCCGGTCTAATAGTCCAGCTTCATTAGTCAGCTGAGTTAACGCCTCGATCGCTGTCCCTCTTTCATACAAAATAGTACGTACTCTCCAGTAAATCTCTAAGGCGGGGCAGAGTAAACACCCGATCAGCAAATGGCTGAAGCCGTTGACATGGCACATGAATACCCGGTGGTCAAAGGTTTAAGCATTGTGAAATTGCCACTACTGAAACCAATTAGTAAACAATGTATTTATAAAATTACTGTAATGTTCCTGTATGTTTATACTATATATATTCTGTATATAATTCTGTAAGATATTAGTTGTATCGGGGTCCTGTCCGGCTCTCCATAACATAGGCAGAGATTGGCTAATAACATATTTTGTAATGGAATGTACACTAGGGGGTCTGTTATTCTTTGTTATTCTTTGTTGAATTTGATGAATCCAATATGCAGTTGTCATTTGAGGTGATTTTAACGCCATATTCTTTGCTAGACAAAGGATTCTTATTTATTTGAAATGGTCATGATGTATTCTGCTATATAGTCACGTGACTTACATCTGGCCTTTGACCATATTTCCTGCACTTGGCAATATTTTTATAATTTTGCTTGATGTGTTTGGACACAATTTTAGTAATTTGTTGTGACATTCAAAATGTATCGATAGAGTGATGTGATGACAGCGGACACACACAACACAGTCGAGTTAAGCAGAGTTACTCCCAGAAACAAACCAAGAGGTAATAAACACCTTAAAACCGTGTCTTACCTATGTGTTGAGATTTGTATCGACCAACTGCATAAACAAATAACCTGTCTGGAAAAATGAATCAATCAACGACAGTTGAATTATTTCCAACCGATACAGTTCATACGAATGTAAAAACTAATCAACAATGGTGCATAATTTGCACCCATTGCAATTCCAATGAATTGTTGGAATATGTGCCCTCCAAACTCTGCAAATATCTTGTCAATAAAAAATTCAAGATACATAACTAACATAACGTTATTAGAATTTGTTATCTCTTACAAGAACTTTTCTTGCGAAAAAAAGATGTCATGACAAATATTTCATAAGTGATTCATGGTTGGTATTGGGTTATGTTATAAATGATTTGTAGTTGGTAATGATTTCTTCTTTGTCAATGGTAGCTTACCTGTATGGATGGATACCAGAAAATTCTTAAACTATTTCACAACAAGTTTCAGAGAGATTAATTAACTAATTAATTGAAAAAATACATCTCAGTCTTGGAATAAGTAAGACGTAATATTTATAGGGTGGTCGAAGGTCGAAGAAATTGAAAACTGAATTAGAACATCAATTCAATTGAAATTGGAAAAAATCGAAGTTAAAACAAAATGGAAATAATATATGAAAATAATAATTGTATCTAAATAAATTAAAAACCGAATCAAAATGGTGTTATAAAATAAATCAGTATTGTTGTTTAAAAACTGCAAATCCGATGCCAGAAATGTAAAATACAAAAGTAGGTCTTATAATGTGTCAATCACTTTATTATACAAATTGGTATAGGAGAGTAATTGGAACTTCAAAAACATAACGTGCTAATATATATACCAATATAATGTGATGTTTTAATTAAGTTTTAACCTTCCTTATCAACTATAAAACACATGTGAAACGAGTGAGTAAATTGCATAGTGGGAAAAAAGTGCATATAACTAATCTCATCAAATCATCATAGATAACACAGCTTCAATAAACTAAGTAATTAACTGAAGGTGACATTTAAATGCATCGCCATGTTGTCAAGGCTGGCGACGAACAACAATTATGTAATGTCTGCTTGTACCCTGCACCAGTAGTGTAGAATATATAGTATTAGTATTATGTCGTATGTTGGGAGCTTAGCTGACTTACACAGTCTAATAAGTCTGAATATATGTTCTAGTTCATGGAATGTTGTTCTGGTGATAAAGTGAAAAATAATAATTAGATATATATTTTGATTGGTTGATTGATTGATTGATTGATTGATTGATTACAAATAACATTCATGGGTTTTGCAAAAAAATAAAAACAGTTATATTTATTAATAGGTTTCACTTTTATGTTAATACAACCCAATTATATTACCTGCACTTAGGACAGCATCGTGGACCGTGACAAATACACAACACTTCTCCTCATATCCAACGTCCTCATAAAAATTGCATCTAGAAAGAAAGTCACGAACCTCCTCTGAAAGAAAAAAAAATAATATTTTAAGATCTTTGTTATATATCTGTATCGTGTATATAAACCCCAAGCATCCCAAGTCAATATATCGAAAGTCTTACATATATGTATAAAGGCAAGAAACATACTTCCAACCGCATTATTTACTATGCAAGGGCAGAGAGCAGTTAGCTTGTTCAATGGTTAAACAGTGGATAAATATGATAACACAGTTATACAAAGATGATCTCAGATGATATCATTGTGTGTACATGCCTTATATTTCTCTTTAACTTGATTGTACACCAGTACTGATTTGTATTATTTTTATGGAATGTTTTGTGAGATTGTAGTGTACCTGTCGATTGTTTGTCAGTGATGTTAACTCTCTCTCTCTCTTGAGCGTGGCGTGATAAGGTTCTTTGCTGTGACAAGGCGCTTTGCCATGGTCGTGAGTTTGAATCACACGTGTTGCGAGTTTATATGTAATTATATGTAATTAAGTGTTCACTCGTGGCAAAAAGGCCCACATCTTAGGTAATACTAACAATGAATACATTATGGGTTTATATGTACGTAGTTGTGACGTCAGTTTACGTTTATTACACACTTTGTTGGTCAATCTTTTTTGAGCTGTTTAGTAGGGTGTATCGAAACTGCATCTGCCTATATGGCAAGACGTGGTTATAAGTTAATTATATGCCTGTAATTATATTGTTTCGTGTTCTTGGAGATAACATTCTATTTGATGACTGTGATATCGTTTAGGCATGCTGCCATCATTTACACTTAAATTGCAGTGGTGATATCCAGAACTAATACATACTTTTACAGTTAGCTAGCAATATCTTGATTCCAAGTTTATGGTACTCCTTGAAAAGTTGTCGTAATCCACTTAATGCCGTAGAGTCAATAAAGTTAAGAGAAGAGCAGTCGATGATAATTGTGTGGATCTTGTCTTCTTTAATTAATCCATCACCCTCTTCCAAACCATGGATGTCTTCATCATGTTCATTGTCCCATTCATTGACGTCTTTATCATCTTCCATGTTGTCACTGATTGCGTTACTCACAGTGGCAGATAGCTGGCTGTAGTGTCCTTGTCTCCGTGTCAGTATATTGCCCTATAGATTGGCGTTATAATGATAATTAGTATTCACAAACTTTCAAAGTTGCTTATGCCTGGATCTTATTTAAGGCACAAGATAAAACATATGTATTATGTTGCTTCTAGACTGGGACTTGTCTTCAGCTGTCAAATCCCATGAATGATAGCAACACTACAATTTGATTGAAATCAGGGACACCCGAAATTAAAATTCGCCATATTTTGAGGTGTAATTAATTACAAGAATAGAAGATGGTGTACTACAGAATCGCACTTGTGTTACAAGTTTCAGATACACTAGGCTTTCATCCTTGGCATTGACACCACCTCACAAAATTGGAATGAATCAAAGTTAGAAGCATCTAACCACATCCTTCAAAACTGGAAATATGGCTTGTGATCCTGTGATAGTATAATCTAAACTCAAACATCTAAACACAGACAAATCAAAATACAACACTGGTGCTCCGACTGGCTCAATTTCAAAACCACTGGCACATACACGCTTGAGATATTACCTCTCCTGTTTCTCTAGATGTCAATACACCTTCTTTCTTCATTTCTTTGCTTTGCTTCTTCTTGTTTCTTTCTTCAAATTCTTCCTCCCTAGCTTTGATTTGCAATATTTTTCTAGGGTTGATTCCTGTCAGCTTGTACATCTTTGCCATGAAGTGAGCAATATTTACAAAGTATAGTGACGATTGCATGCAGAATATCTTAATACCACGAGATTCTGTAGCCTGAAATTGAAGCAGAGGTGATGCATCAGAGCTGATTTAGACATATATTCTAACAAATTATGTGAGTATTGTTTCTTTATGCACGTTACTGATTATGAATTTGAATATTGATACAGTATGATGACATTTGTACTTGAATGAATGTGTGTGGCATGCACCTCAAGTAAAGTAGTAGCACCACAGCATTACATATCAATACATATCACACAATTTGTTCTTCTGCATCACGAACAATATTGCATTGTGCGTTTAAGGGTTAACATCGAGTTGTATGTACTGTATGTTTGGACTGTCGGTAATTAGACATTTGGTCAGATATACAAAGATTCACCTAATTGGCATGCTTAATAATAAGTATTACTTAGTTAATTTAAATATACATACAGCTTCTGTTACATATGCAAGTAGATACAAGAAAGTGTTAGATTTAGTTATTGATACTTACATCTGAATACTGTTTGATATCCTTGTATAGATCTGTTCCATCTACTCTGCCCAGCAATGCACATGGTGGTTCCTGTGTTCTCCACACGTGCATGAATATGGAATATCCAATTCCAATGACAAGTCCAAAATCAACATTAAACAAAAGTACAGCAACACAACTTACCCACCACACATGCTGAAATATGGACACAATTATAAGAATCCATGTTAATTAATTAATCTATGTTAATTAGTTAATTAATCAATATCTATTGAATGACGCATGAGCTGATGTAATGACTCATTTGACCATTTATAAGCAGTGGTTCAAAGTGTTTTTATGTTTTATGTTTCAGTAACATTTACGACGGAATTTCACTATCGTCCACCAATGGGCGTGAGAGGCAAAATGGAACGACAACATGGGGATTTTAGTGATTTGATAGTCCTAGTAGAGGGAAAAGCCTGCTGATTGGGATCACTGATAGATGCAATAATTTACATAAAGAGAAGTTATGTTATGTACAATCTTCTGTTATTGGTCGCATACAAATATAACTGAATATTTGAAGACTCAAGGAAGCAAATTATAAATCTACCAGGGTTGTCAATCTTGATTATCACTTGCGCACGCGTGGGAATTGAGTTCCAAGCGACGATAACAACACACGCAAAAAGCATGCGCAGGTGACGACTCCCCCACTTTAAATGTTCCTTTTTTTAATTTAATATACGGTTTGATAGATGTATACTTACAAAGTCTAGTAAATCAGCCTTGAAGAGTTTTGGGACTGCTAGAATTTTGCGAAAGACTTCTTTCAGAGTAACAACTATAATAGAAGCAAGTATCGCCTGTAAAGTGAGAACATAATACAATATAAGTCAAACATGTAGTGCAATGTTTAGATGAAACATTTGAGCAAATTAATGCTGACTATGGCACAGTCGCCAAACGTGCTTTTAAACAAAGGAGAATAGATGTGTACTTTCCCACAGTTGTATAAACCTTTTTCACAAATCGGGTGCCCAACAGTTTTTTCCGTATGGGGGGAACTCGGAAAGGGGCTCATGAGAGATATCGAGTCTGAACTAGGGCGGTGTATGTTTTAAATATAACAAACATATTTAATTAGGTCAAGCTGTGTACAGTGAATTTAATGAAGGTATGCATGTTTTTGTAGAAGATATCCTGGACAATTCTCGCGCTTCATTCAAATACACCGTTATTGCTGTAGAAGGATTTTAGTAACGCCCAGTACCACGAATCTCTGTGTAGTAAAAACAATATGTTTTTAAATCTTTTGAAAAATGTATTGTTTCATATAGAAAACGTTCATGTACTGATGAATTCAGTTTATTACCTGTTTTAATATAAAACTCTAAGTATATTTTAACATTTTATAGATGCCTATTCTGAGGTATGAATCACATGGAATATATAGTTATATAAAATAAATAAGATACACTGTGTAGAATGATGTATAGAGTTCACAGATATCCTAGACGTAGATTACAATCGGTAAATAAGGCAGGTTAATCCCATGTCATCTGAGATAAGATGTGTTCATACAATGACACCGCTCAATAGATTAGAAAGACGAATTTATGAGCAGCCGGCATATGACGAAGATACAACAGGTAGATAATTTCACGCCTATTACAACACATCTCATCTACTCCAAGTCTCATTGCACGCATATACATAAAGGGGGTGTCATATTTGAGTGCAGGTTTCTCCTAAAAAGTTGAAATTTTCATATAATCGTTGTAGTATTTATTCGCTGTAAGACTCAAAACAACTCATTTACTGTGGTACTGTGTCAAGCAAACAACATATGTAAATATGGGACAAGTTTGTGGGGTGGTTGCACAAGAGATAATATCGATAATCAAATATTAACTAATAGAATAAAAGAAATAAATGTAGTTAGGCGAGGATACTGGGGAGCATGTGACTTCCTATGATCTAGAACAATTTTTAACTCAAAAAAATCAATCATCAAAAACAATTATTGCTTTTCAGACAGCATTGGAGGGTTACCTCAAATTGCGCGTGAAACGTCTAAATACTGGGTTAAGTCACCACAATTGTCGAGTCCTAACTATCACAGACTCGAAAGTTCAAATGTGTTCTTTTATCTTCTAGTCAGTTCTTGTCCAAAATATGTCTCGTACGCTCACTCACTAACATCACCCGTATATACTGCACTCCTGGTGTTAATATGCCCAGAATTCTAATTATATTTTAACATTACCGTTGGCAACGCCTCAAATAAAGGTCCAATCCACAGCAGTACCACCAACATCAATGCACTATTGACCAGACCAGCAATCTAAAATAAAAAAAATATCAATGTCGTCTACTATTTAATGCTTGTTATTGAATCCAATCGCAGAATATAATGTCAGGCTTTGTTTATATGTCAATATGCTATGTTCAACGTTTATCAAAATTATGGCCAACAGCTAGCCAAAAGAAAGATGTTGTGCACAAGTTTCATATTCATGTCCATGTACTTACATAAACAGAACAATAAATTGTCGACAGTAGGCCATTCACACTATATCTCCACAAGAAATTGGGCTTAGCAGCTAGAAAAATAAAACCTTAATATACACTTACTTGTGATGTGCCTCCAGCAGAGTCCTGGACTAAGCTACGATCCAGTGCAGCACTAGCAGGAAAACCGGACAAAAATGAAACCACTACATTAGTTGCCCCATAAGCTATCAGTTCCTATGACGAAGTACCATGAAAGTGAAATGCAACATTTGTACTATATTCATACATTACAGGAAGTTATTTACACTTCAGATTTATAAATTTACACTGAAAATCTTATGCCACTGTTCTCTCGCCTGATCTAGCTATGTGTAAATTACAAGTGCAACCAATTGAAAGCCGAAAATGATCAAAACAAATTACATCTGATATGTTACTTTTTGGATAGCGGATCACAACATCCACTGTTCTCTTATTGGCCATGTGCCATCTGCTGTTTAGGATTAGTATTTATCAATTTGTCAATTACTGTGCATTTCACTTGCACGTAGTAATCACTGGTAATTGAATAAACAATGCGTTTTGAATACCATACCTGGTTTGCATCTATCTTGTATCTCTTTTTCTGAGCAAATAACGACACAACAACAATAGCAATGGCATATGACACAATAGCTAGTGGAAATGCAGGACCAATCAAGGAAGTGAGGTATGTAGTTGAAGGAAGACTCGGTGCAGGCACCCTGCAAAATGAACCATGACAATATTTTCAAAACATACATAAATACATAAAGCATGTGTACATACATGTGTATATACAATGGAGAGGGTTATTAGAGTAACTTACCCAGCTGGTAAATCGCCAACAACTTTAACGTTATAATCTTCTTCTAAGTTTAATAGGTAACTAAATAATACTCCCAATATTACCTAGTGATGATAAATACCAGAATATACAATATAAAGTCATCTTTGAGTAGTTCATGAATGAGGAAGGCTAATAGCATGCTCATTAGATTTCCATTCCTCGGCAAATTACAAAATTACTCGACCTACCACTATTATTTCTGAGCCTAGGGGATACCCATGCAGCTGTCTTTTATATTTGGTTTCTATTTCTTTAATTGATATTAGGATTAGTACACAACAAATCGATATCAATATAGTCACGTAGTTCCAATCTGCAGCACTTGCCAGTAAATCTCGATATGTCTACAAAATAGAATATATAATTTGCATTAATCTCAGCTTGTTGATACGTTATTATATTTTGCTTGTGTTATATATATTATATATAGTCATGAATCACTATAATGACGTAATGACCCTACTAAATGATTCCAATACATCATACAAATAAACAAATGAGAAGAAAACTACATCGCCAAGTTTGACATATATATCGAGTGATTCCACATTATCATCATGTTTTGGGAGTAATTGACTTTTTTTTCTCAATTATTTTTCTCTCAAAACACAATGTATTAGGTTTTACTATATTGTGTTTAAATGCACATTTACTGCAATGTAAACATATGATAACACATGCAAATGCTGAATCGAGCAAATAAGAAATAAAAACATTAGAATATCTAAATAAAGATTAAGAGGTATCAATCAACATTCTAAATTAATTAGTTTTGAATATATGTTGAAATAGAATGTTGAAGCTAAATTACAAGTTCTGTAATAAAGTGTCTGATGACCTGACATCTTTCATGCTAAATTCTATAAAATATTTATGTACATTTATGCAGGTCAAATAAACAATTACATACATTGCTGACAAATAGTTATATCCTCAAAAAGAGTAAGTCTGTTATCAAATTCAGCATTTATTACAACATTGCTTAAATTGTCCACAGAACTCAATGGCAGTCTATGGCCGTTTCAATTACACTGAAATGCAATACTTCAATAACATGAAAATTAATAACTAAAATTTTGCAATAATTCTATGAAAATACTTTTGAGCTACATTCTTTATTTCACAATGATGTTGCTGATTTTTTTTTCAAATATTACCATAAAGATTTCTATTTGATTATTCCCAAAACATGATTGCCAAACCTACTATGCGATAAAACAGTGAAAATGTGAATGACATTAATAACATTTGTTAAATATTAATGTGTCAATCTCTGCTGAAATAAGCTTTGACACTTATCAATAAATGTGTGAATATAACACTTACATATACAAGTCCAAGTAAACCAGGATGACCTCTTACTTTCACGCCTACCATGGCATCTATCTGGCTTGTAAACACACGACAAGCAGCTCCAGTAAGATATCCACTAATAAACGGATCAGATAAATATACAGTAACCCAACCAAGACGTAGAATGCCCATAGCCAGCTGTCATATAATAGATAAATACATAATTAGTACAATAATTACAGCTATAAAATAACTCTTTTACTCGGCAGTTATATGTACAATTAATACTTGTGCATCTATTTTGTGTATTTATTCATTGTGTAGATATCACCCAGTTAAAAAAGTTTCCAGGCAAATATATATGGTGGGAACATTTCATTGTTTTTATGCCTTTCTAAATTCAATTTTGAAAGACAATATTTAACAATGCACAAAAAAAAACAAATAGAATAGACAAGTGTTAATTATCCATAGTGTGTTGTGTTGTGTATACTGAAAAATACTGCCACCAGGGTTGTGTCACTCAACCATGCATTATGATGATACGAGACTATATTAACCTGTATAACGCCCACTAAAAGAGCCATTATAACAGCAGCATCCACCAATTCTTGTTCTCTGTTCCATTCTGGTGGTGATATTGCTGTAGTATTTGTGTTATTATACTCCATATAATTAGTAGGAGGTTCATCGAGAGGATATTGGGGTACTACATCCTGTATAGCTGCCCTCACCATTAGGCTACCAATTGCATATGTACCTGAACAAATAGATTATGATCATGAATCTTTATTAATTGGATGACTCAATTTATCTATGTATTATTTATGTTCTACTAAGGGTCTGTGACGATTATCCTCTGCTTTTATGCTTACAATTATCCTCTGCTTGTAATTTGTTTACAATTTACAAACTTGATTGCCAACATGAATTGACTTACCAACTGCTAGATCTTTACTAGTTCCTGTCACTGCATATACAAGGGGAGCAAAGAAGCTTAGATATAGACCATATACTGCAGGCAATGATGCCAACATAGCATATGCCATACCTAGAGGGAAACATTTACATATAACTCATTAAATAATATAATAATTTGTGTGTCAGTACTTTAAATTATGAGATTGTGTGTTTCATAGACAAATGAAAGATATAGTATAATCTGTGCAGGATTTAGTTCAATGCATTTTTTAAAATTAAAATGTGTTTTAAACCTGGACAATTGTTTTAACTATTCACATATATATAAACAAGACCAGTGTTAGCTTTTTCATTTGTACATTAATTATTCAATAAATGACATCTTCCAAATTTTGTAAATTTCGAGTTGATTCTGATATTAGTCATGATCTTTCTGGACTTACCTTGTGGTATGTTCATGACACAGACTGTTGTACCTGCTATAATATCCCTTAGCAGTTGTTTGCGTACTGCATAACGAGGTAGCCATCCAAAGATTGGAAAAGTTGATGTTATACATCCCTTGCAACAACTTTTACCGCATCGACAATTCTTGATCTTTTTTTTTAATTTTTGGTTGTACGGTACATAATGGAGATCATTCTCTTTATATTCATTTTGGAAATCTTTCTCAGAGAACAAGGGTCTGTTAATATGATAACTCTGACGATTTACAGTTTGATCTGCATCCCCATTGTAAGTGATTACTTGTATATCATCATTGTCATTGCCTTGTTTCACGGTACATAGTTTTGCATTGTTGGGTGTGATGTCTTCATTCCGTTTTACATTGTAACTCGCACGTGTATGTGAATTTGAACTACCTTCTGATGGTTGGATTACTCCAAGTTCTATTTCTATCTCATCTGCACTAGCTACATTATCTTGTGTCACAATTGAAGCCATTCTCTGTGTAGATAATATAGTGCGATATGATAGGAGTTAATTACCGTGTACACAAATACTTGACATACTATACTACACTTAATTCAAATTCACAATAAAATGGTTGATCAAATTAATGACAAAACAACTTACAGGTCAAGAAGTGATATAGTCAATCATAGCCACTTGAGGGCTGAAACCCCAATTATATGCATTATGGTTACTTTTTCACCCTACCCTATAAACACAATTATTCGAATCTGATGATTTTTGTATTTTGGAACCCGTTTGTTGCTGCTTACAGCTATATTTTGTATGATAAATAGTGTTACCATTTTTCTCTGTGTTCACTTCATTTTTAAATGCCAAGTGTGGGATCACATTTAAGACCGATGGGACCTCTACTATCTCTCTAACAAGTGTGGGTATTACCAAGTGTGGAACCTGCTGAAAGTGTACATACTAATACATGTATGTGAGGGTTAGTTCCGTAAGTTACGCAAGTAGCGCACGAATTAAAGAGCATGTACTTCGGCATGAATCTATTAAAGACAGGTCGTGTGTCTATATCACGCTGTATAGTCAGTACGAAATGAGTTCGGTTACGAGGATTGGACAGTATGAACGAACACCATCCCCCATTTAAGTTATATAAAAATTATACCTTTATAACATAATGAATCGAGATGAAAAGAAATCATGATACTCACAATAATGCGTTATCTGATATTAATGTTCAACCTTCGTGTCTGATATACATACACTGCATAGTATCACACCATATAGTTATACTTTGTATCATAGGGGGTCAACTTAAGTTCACAATAATAAGTCCCCTTAGGTTACAGGGAGGAAATCAGTCTCCGGTGGAGTGGCATTTATGATTGTTGCAAGTGTTCAAATAGGAGAGCATGTGAATATACAAATAATGTGGGTGGTCTGATATTAGATGTAATGTATTAGATGTGATCTCTGACAACTTTATCAGTTGTCTTAGATGTGATGAAAGGTTTGTATTGTGAGATGTTTTGTTTTGACAAAAAGTCTGTTTACAATAGCCATAAGGTAAAAAAATGCATTTTATGCTATGACATCTCATCTGATGCGTGCTTATGTATTTTTTTTTCTCAGGGAGTTAGGGAAACAAGGAGAATCTGAGGAATGGAAACATGAGTTCAAAAAAACGTATTCTGTGTAATCTGTATTATTTACTAATTCAACCTCGACTTTAGAAGATGGTGAGGTAATTGTCCTGGCCATCTTACATTTAGACATATGGGAAATCAGTCGAGCACATTGACAAAAAGTGCCTGAACAGTCGAGTTTATTGTTCGTGATTGACTGAAAAAATAAACCAATCATATCGCGAACATCCGATATTCAGCTGAGCATGATTTCGGCAACAAATACATTCGACGAATCGGTGAAAAAAAAGCTAGTGCGCTTGCGCTTTGAATTACCAGTACGTATAGGTGAATTAATGGCGCACGCTATTTCATGCCCAAAGATGAAAACAATCAATCCGGCACGTGTTAATTTTCAGAACTGATATGGTGCGGCTCCTAGTGACCGAATAGCATCGTGGTATTATGTTAGGTGCCGTTAAGTCCCAATATAAATACCACTCCTTTAGACAGGCATGTACCCAAGGCTACGCTGCATATTGCAACAAAACAGGGTCAAATTAAGATAAGATAAAACCTAAACAACATCAATCAAGCTTCGTTGTAACACAACGACTGATGTGTGTCACTGC